GGGCCGTACGCTGCAGCTCCCATCGCTTCGGATTTAGAGACCGAGTCGACAAGCCCTTCACGTTCCAAGTTAACAGCTTGAGCTTAGTTAATCGGTTTCTTCGATCCATGCCGGCAGCCCCAACCGGACGGGTGGAGGAAGAAACACCAGAGTGTAAAACAACAAACCAAGCAAAACACAGACAAGCAAAATGTAGTCAAAACGCAAACAACACACAGACAAACAAGCAAACAAGCCAGTAGCGAACAAAACAAACAAGAATACAGCCGGAAAAGATCACAAGATTCGCAGCACTAGCTATTCTACTCTAGTGGAGGGAGTGCGCTCACCCAGAGGCACTCATAATTAACACAGCGCACCTAAGTCTAACCCTGCTATATCCTATCCTCCGTCGCCCACCAACCCTTGGCTTCAGCAAAGTTCCCCGATCCCAGACGCTGGTTCGTAGGTAACATAGAATTGACTTTGGCCAATATCCCCGCCATAAACTCGTTGACGATCCGATAGTCAGTCGGGCTGGCACGGGGGCCAAAGACCTGATCCATCTTCGTCCAAGTAGCATCCTTGTGAGCCAAGGTCAGAGAGCCCGCTYGCCGGGGGGTGATGRATGTAAAAAAGACYAAAAGCCCGTACTCCGTCCCCCCTCRCMGTTGTCTGAAAAAGCGTCCCACCGASACTTTGGGAARCACTTTCACTCTGTAGTTAGGACCCACCCAACGACTGACCTGTCTGGTAATATTCGGGTTCTTGGGRAGGGAGCGCGCCGCATAGACGAAGAATTCCGTACTGCCTTTCGTGACCACCTTAATGCCTTGCTCCGCCCACCATAGCATCATCGGGCAGACATAACACTCCCCGGGTGCCAATATTTCCTGTAGTGACCCCTTCACCGTTGTATTCATATCCCACGTCTGCTTCCATTCCCTCGTTGATATCCATGTCCTCATCCATCGCTCCGCCCCTGTCATCCGTCGAGTCCCCGCCTTCATCCCCTATCATGGGCTCATCCAAATCCAGGGCAGGCTGGCGGGGTTGCGCGTCCTCCATGCCTTCCGCCAGCCCCTCCTCGGCCACCTTATTCTGCAACTCCTCTTCTTCAATGCGTCCTCGCTGCGGGGACACCCATCGGTCCTCGTCTTTAAGCAGCTGCACCTTACGACCAGCCGGGGAGCGGGACCGATCCCACCTCTTTGGCTTTGCGTCCACCCGTGCCTGCAGCTCGCGTCGCTCCTCTTCTCGATCGGACTGGATCGCCCCTGTTGCTTGCTGTAAGGAACTTCCCACCTTCGCGGGGCTCGATATGGGCGGACCCGAGGTCAGCTGCTTCCGCCGACGTCTCGGCATGCCCACCAATCCGCTGTCCGATGTCACAGCAGTGGGCTCACATTTGTGGGAGGGGGGAGGAGGGGGGGGAGGGGAGAGGGCCGACAGGCTAGCTGCGAGGTCCACCACCTCCACGTCGTCCGATTCGCCTTCTTTCGCGCCCCCCGGGACCGGGATATGCACATTTGTTGACTCCGCACCCATTTCTGTGCGACCATAAGGGATAAGGAGCCAGCATTCCTGCTGCTGCCCCAGAGGTGGTTCTCCATTCCTCGATCCATCCCCCGACCCATCCTTTTCCCCCCTTCCCCCCGCACCCACCTCCTCCTTCCCACCACTGTCTCTCGTCCTTCCCCGTTCCTGCCCTCCCCCTTGAAGCGCCTCACTCTCCCCAAACTTTCCTCCTGGCGTGCGTTCCTTGCTGTTCCCCCCCACCGTCTCCTCCTCCCCGACCTTCCTGTCTAATATGTTGGCCCGCACACAGTCGAGCATGACTTGCTTGTCTTCTCCTCGTGTCTGCCCTCCCCCTGGGAGTACCTCACTCTCCCCGACCTTCCCCCCTGGCGTGCTTTCCTTTCTATTCCCCCCCCCTCCCTCTGCATCCATCCTTCCCGAAGATTCCACTACCTCCTCATTCGACCATCCATTGGCCTCATTAATGTCCTCCGGCACTTTCCCTGGACAGATCTCATCCAGCCCCACCTGCCCCTTCTGCTTACATTCCCCCCCAAGCTCACGCAGCACCTCCTTGGTTTGCCCTGTCTCCCCCCCTGAAATCCGAAGTGCCTGCCCATCAAGTCTGCCCTGACTGTCTTCCTCCTTCCCCTCCAATATCTCCACCTTACCTGCTTCCTCCTCCAGGGGGGGGGGGCGGTGACTGGGCCTCATCCGCCCGTCCTCCACTCGTCTCCCCCCGCCCCCACTCCCTATCCAGTTCGGGCACGCACGCTTTCCCTTCCCGGCGATACTCCATTTCAGAGTTTACCTTTTCCTTTACTACGCCCGCCCACCGTCCCCGCTCCTCCGGGGGGGTAACCGATGTGTGCTTCGCAGCCCCCTCCTCCACCTTACCTGTTTCCGCCTCATCCGCCCGTCCTCCACTCGTCTCCCCCCACCCCCACTCCCTATCCAGTTCGGGCACGCACGCTTTCCCTTCCCGGTGACACTCCACATGAGAGATTACCTTTTCCTTTACTACGCGCACCCACCGTCCCCGCTCCTCCGGGGGGGTAACCGATGTGTGCTTCGCAGCCCCCTCCTCTTCACGCCCCATCCCTGGTGGATGCACCCGTCGCTCCTGCACCACAGGAGGTGTCCCTTTGTCCCCCTGTTGCTATTCAGTCCCCGCCACCTTACTCCCCATCCCCTGTACTTGGGCGTCAGTCGGGGTCGGCTGCCCGTGGGCCCTACACTCCTGTTCCACAAGGGTTGCCGGCTTGGTCACCCGTTGTTGCTCAGTTCCCTCCACCTTATCCTCCGTCCCCTGTACCTGTGCATCGACCGGGATCAATGGCTCGTTGGAGCCTTTAACCCGTGAGCCTCGCTCTTGGACAAAGACCTCTTTATCGACCAGGTCGTCCCCCCCC